ATGGAGGCTGCACTGTTGAACTAGCACTGAGAGCTTGGGGGCTGCACTGTTGAACTAGCACAGAGAGCATGGAGGCTGCACTGTTGAACTAGCACTGAGAGCATGGAGGCTGGACTGTTGAACTAGCACAGAGAGCATGGAGGCTGGACTGTTGAACTAGCACAGAGAGCATGGAGGCTGGACTGTTGATCTAGCACAGAGAGCAAGGAGGCTGGACTGTTGAACTAGCACAGAGAGCATGGAGGCTGCACTGTTGAACTAGCACAGAGTGCATGGAGACTGCACTGTTGAACTAGCACAGAGAGCATGGAGGCTGCACTGTTGAACTAGCACAGAGAGCATGGAGGCTGCACTGTTGAACTAGCACAGAGAGCATGGAGGCTGTACTGTTGAACTAGCACTGAGAGCATGGAGGCTGCACTGTTGAACTAGCACTGAGAGCATGGAGGCTGCACTGTTGAACTAGCACAGAGAGCATGGAGGCTGGACTGTTGAACTAGCACAGAGAGCATGGAGGCTGGACTGTTGAACTAGCACTGAGATCATGGAGGCTGCACTGTTGAACTAGCACTGAGAGCATGGAGGCTGCACTGTTGAACTAGCACAGAGAGCATGGGGGCTGCGCTGTTGAACTAGCATTGAGAGCATGGAGGCTGCACTGTTGAACTAGCACAGAGAGCATGGAGGCTGCACTGTTGAACTAGCAATGAGAGCATGGAGGCTGCACTGTTGAACTAGCACTGACAGCATGGAGGCTGGACTGTTGAACTAGCACAGAGAGCATGGAGGCTGCACTGTTGAACTAGCACTGAGAGCATGGAGGCTGCACTGTTGAACTAGCACAGAGAGCATGGAGGCTGGACTGTTGAACTAGCACAGAGAGCATGGAGGCTGCACTGTTGAACTAGTACAGAGAGCATGGAGGCTCCACTGTTGAACTAGCACAGAGAGCATGGAGGCTGCACTGTTGAACTAGCACAGAGAGCATGGTCACTTCCCTGCAAGATGTGATCAATACAAGTCTCGGGGGGAAGGGAAATGGAAAAAGGATGGGGTCTTCAGGATTAAGGTCAGAATGGGGAGTGTTCCAATGGGACCACAGTCATCACATATCAGAAGCCATATTTTAAACTATCTATCTCTATCTTCTTTTACCCCACCAGGACATCACACAAGCGACAAACACCCGATGACACAAAGTGCCACCATGTAGATGAGGATCACCTGTGGAGAGGTCCCAGAAACCATGTTCAGCCATTAGACCATATTAATGGCCAGGCTATATTGCGGCCCCTGGCAGGAGCTAGAGTAGGGCTTCAAATAATGAAAAATTGCATCCCTTAAATGGAGGATGAGATACTTTATTTTAAGGTAACGACTTATCACTATAAATCAAGCAAACAACAGATGACAGAGACTAGGAAATGATTATGGTATTAATTCGATAGTCCTAATCCCAATAAATAAAATATTCAAACGATGACGGAGGCAGCAAGAAGAGGAATTAGAAAGTAATAACATAATATATATGACCAATTAATGTATTATGATATTTAAAATAAATTTTGACTAAAATCTGGCACTTGTTAAAGGGAGGTAACAATAGATTACAAGAGGATAGCCAATAGCTGAAGAGGACAGACAAACAATGTCCTTTACATAAACAATTTTACCTGGCAAACTAAGTTCCACGCTGGCCTGTCTGACAATCACCATATTCAGATAACATTTTGTTCCTTACTAAATAATTATTTTTTCAAAAAATCTTTCAATACCAAGCAAGAGTTACTTTTCCTCATGCAGTCCTAAGAAATTGTTACTTAAAAGCAAATGTTTGGCTCTGAAGATCATTTTCACACCAGTTGTGCATTGAGTGGTGTGAGATGCTAGTCATTTTTTTTTGTTTAAACAGACCAAATGGCACTCAGTAAGTGATGGAGTCAACGTATGTGCAGTCTTTACTTCCCAAGACATTCCTAGTAATCTTTTTAGTCTGGGCTGACCTGGGAGCCAATGTCAATTTTAGCTTTGTGTGTCTTAATTATAATTTCTCAGATCAGAAGGGGTTATCAATGATTTGTCCTGTTGGACTGACATCCTTCCCGTGTGGGTCCTGGGGCCCCATTGTGGGGGGAAACAAGAACAGACCCGCTGCCTCCCCAACAAGCAGGTTGTGAGAGTCGATTAATTGGGAGCTTCCTTCAAAGTCAGAGAGCATCTGCCCGAGGGTCAAGGAACAACCAGCAACATAAATAAGCCAGCACAAGTCTAAATGGATGAAGAGCCAGGACTTTCTGTCTGAACCCACAGCCAAATGAATACAGAAGAAGGATTGACATCCAGGTTGCAACTCATCCATTAGCTGGGATGTCAACAATTCAGGTAGCAGCTCAGAGCAAAAAAACATTTATGCAAATCTTGTTCAACCTCTGATGTTTAAACTGAGCACATATTTTCTGATAAAAAGATAGATATGCTAGTTCTTTCTAACGTACAACAGCCAAGGGCACTCTTCTGAATCAGCAGTCACAGATTTGACATAAAGTATACGTGGAAATGCAGGAAGCAAGGAATAAACTCACTCAAACATCACCATTTACATGGCAAAAAAAAAAAAAAAAAATGGCCGGTCTGACTAGATTTCTGGCTATGAGTAACAATCTTGGTCACAAAAACAAATAAGCAAATTCTGACATTCAAAACATTTCTGCAAAAAAAAAATTCTTCACAATCAAAATATTACTACAGGTACAAAAAATGCTAATGATTGGTGAAAATTGTATGCCGGTGACAAGAATAATTTCAATGAAGGTTGTGAATTCAGTGAATAATTCTGATTCTTGCAGGTGACCTACAGGAGTGTGAACAACTATAGAGTAAATATGTTGCTGTCAGTTCCTAGACAAATACTCAGTAAGATTATTTTTGAACAGACTAAAAGATGCTACTGATAAAAAGCTAAGAGCTGAACAGGCAGATGAACAGGCAGATAAACAGGCAGATGAACAGGCAGGTGAACAGGCAGATAAACAGGCAGGTGAAAAGGCAGATGAACAGGCAGGTTTTCAGCCAAACAGATCCTGTTTTGACCAGATGGCTTCATTACGTGTTATAATAGAGTGAATCACTGAACTAAATTCACCATTTTACACTGAATACATGAAAAGCTTTTGATAGCACTGATAGGGAATCTGTCTGGAAATTAATAGGGCACTATGTAATCCCACAGACAATTATTAACTTAGTAAAGGCAACATATAAAGACATGAAATGTCGAGTTCTTCATGAGGGAAAGCTAACAGATACATTTGAAATCAAAACAGGTGTGCAACAGGACCATGGTTTTGTCACAACTCCCTATTTTTACTCACAATATGAAGACAGCAACTGCTAACACCAAGAATGGAATTTAGTGGACCCCTACAAAACAGCTTGATGATCTGGACTTCACTGATAATATTTCTCTTTTTTGCCCTACTCACAGATCAGATGCAATATAAATAAAATATATTTGATGCAAGATCATAATATCTAGGTCTGAAAATCCATAGCAGAAAGACAAAGATAATGAGAATAAATCAGGCAAATAGTAATGTGTTTTCTCTTAATGATATCCCACTTCAAGACGTGGAGTCGTACACCTTTTTCGGCAGTAACGTAGATATAGATAGGGAAACTGATAGAGATATTAAAATATGAATACAAAAGGCAAGAGGAGCTTTTACTGCACTAGGAAATTTGTGGAGGTCAAAAGAAATTAACACTAATACTAAACTTAATATTTTAAAGTAATATCAGTTCTGTTGTATGGAGTAGAAACATGGAGAACAACGAACAGGCAATTACTAATAAACTACAAACATTTATTATTAGTACCTGCGCAGAACAGAGGGAGTTAAATGGTATGACAGAATCACTAATGTAGAGCTTTGGGAGAGAACTAAACAAGTTCCAGTGGACCAAGAGGTGAAGAAAAGACGCTGGCATGGATAGGACACGCGTTGAGAAAACCTGAGAACAATGTAACTAGAATGTTTTTGCACTGGAACCCACAGAGCTCATAAAAAAAAGGAAGACCAAAAAACACATGGAGAAGTTAGCTAGAGAGTGAAGTTAAAAAGATGGGGAGGACATGAGGAAGAGCTGTATGTGATAGCAAAGGATAGAACAACTTGGCGTGAGCTGGTTGAGGGCTTATGCTCCATTAGGGGTTAGAAGGCAGAAGAAGAAGATTCTTCTTGTATATTCTTGATAGGTCTGGTAGCAAATGTGATGTTTGATTTTAACATGACCAAAGATGGCAGAATGAGTGATGGTATGTAGGATTACATGTGGTTTAAATAATTTGGTCACATAAACTACAATCTGGCAGGTTTCACCCATTTTAGGCCAATAAAAAGACTGTTTACCACTGCCAAAAGACTTCATGTCATTTTTAAAAAAAAAAGAAAGAAAGAAAACAGAAAATACTAACAGTTTGAAAAACTCATTTCTCAGGACGACAGTTAAATTACATAAACTAGACAGGTTTTTCGGGGTTGTTTTATGTTGCGGAGTTCAACAATTTTTAAATAACATAAACTAGACAAATTTAACGTGTTATATGATGCTGATTTATGAAGGTTTTAAATTACATAAATTAGATAAGTTTTACAAGAGGGTATATGTTACTGATTTCAAAAGTTTTAAATTACATAAAACAGACAAGTTTAACATAATGTTATTTGTTGCTGAGTTCAAAGATTTTAATAACATAAACTAGGCAAGTTTTAACAAAACATTATATTTTGGTGAGTTTTTTAAATAACATAAAACAGATAAAGTTTAACATGATATAATGTACTGATTTATGAAGGTTTTTGGTTACATAAACTAGACAAGTTTAATATAGTGTTTCATGTTTTTAAACAACACTAACTTGACAAAGATCAAGTACTGACGTAAATATTGCTCACTTCTGGAAGTATTAAATAATATAAACTAGGTGCGGCTAAATGATGTTATTTCCCTTTGACCTTTGCCAACAGGCCTGAATTTTCCTTTTTCATCTGTTGAAGGTCAGCAGAAATCTTCTCAAGGTTGCTCAAGATTTTCTTGTTGCTTTCCGTTTCAATCTGAGGAGAGTGGAAGATGGCAGAGACCTATTACAAGAGTGCAAACTTATCACATGAGTGGAAACATAGTACAAGAGACAGAACACATCACAAGAGTGGAAACAAAGCACAAGAGACAGAACACATCACAAGAGTGGAAACATCATAGGAGAGGTAGTTCACATGTACTAGAGATAACAAAAAACAAACAAAAAACATACAAAAAACAAAGGTGTAATGCAAATGTAAATACAATACCTGTTCCTCTAAATCTTTAATCTCCCGCATGACCACACCTGTGTCCTGGACTGTTTGAATCAACTGCTCAAAGTTCTGAAACAAAACATTATAAACTGTCATCATAATTGTCTTCAAGAATAGATAACAAAACAGAAAAACAATTCAGATGAGAATTCAGGGTACAACTGACAATATTCATAGACACACCAGATCAGCCAAGATGAGAATTCAGGGTACAAGTAACAATATTCATGGACACACCAGATCAGCCAAGATGAGAATTCAGGGTATAACTAACAATATTCATGGACACACCAGATCAGCCAAGATGAGAATTCAGGGTACAACTAACAATATTCATAGACACACCAGATCAGCCAAGATGAGAACTCAGGGTACAACTAACAATATTCATGGACACACCAGATCAGCCAAGATGAGAATTCAGGGTACAACTAACAATATTCATAGACAGACCAAACCAGCCAAGATGAGAATTCAGGGTACAACTAACAATATTCATAGACAGACCAAACCAGCCATCTTCACTGTGAAAGTCAGCTGTAAACATTTTGCAGTTGTAGTATAATTAAAACTTTTTTCATATGTATCTGTCCACAAACCTAATATTTTGCTGAAAGATTTTTCCTACACACTTTTTTTCACATATCTTCTCATATTTTGGTAAAAGATCTTTCAAACATACTTTTTTCACATTTCTTCACATATTTTAGTAAAACCTTTCATACACATATTTTTAACATATCTTCTCATATTTTGGTAAAAGATCTTTCATACACACTTTTTTTTCACATATCTTCTCATATTTTGGTAAAAGATCTTTCACACACATTTTTTTACATATCTTCTCATATTTTGGTAAAAGATCTTTCATACACACATTTTTTTCACATATCTTCTCATATTTTGGTAAAAGATCTTTCATACACACTTTTTTTTCACATATCTTCTCATATTTTGGTAAAAGATCTTTCATACACACTTTTTTTCACATTTCTCAAATTTTAGTAAAAGATTTTTCATACACACTTTTTTTTCACATATCTTCTCATATTTTGGTAAAAGATCTTTCATACACACTTTTTTTTCACATTTCTCAAATTTTAGTAAAAGATTTTTCATACACACTTTTTTTTTTACATATCTTCTCATATTTTGGTAAAAGATCTTTCACACACACATTTTTTTCACATATCTTCTCATATTTTGGTGAAAGATCTTTCACACACACATTGTTTTACATATCTTCTCATATTTTAGTAAAAGATCTTTCATACACACTTTTTTCACACATCTTCTCATATTGTAGTAAAACATTTTTTAAATGCATATTTCCACATCTCTTCTCCTATTTTAGCAGACTTTTGTCTTTTTATGTGCACAAAATCTTTTGTTTGTTTTTCCGCCAGTGCACCGAAGATTGTTAGCCCATATGCTGATATATTCTGGTGGAGATGCAAAGGCAAGATCTGCAGAACAATGATCGTGCAGGTCAGTCAGCAAGATACTTGATGATGATGTTAAGAAACTGAGATTAGAAGGCCCATTTTCAAATAAATCTTTTCTCTGCTTTGCCATGCCTGTCTCGCCCGTAACTTATTTCTCAGTTCCACCTTTTCCTTTGATATAGTCGAGTAAAAGATCCCTTTTCACGCCTTGCGTGCATCGGGCAAATGGGAAAAGCACCCCATATTTTCACAGACTAATCATCACTAGGTGGGTAATGTGGTCAGCATTACGTCGGCCGTCTTTACTTCCCCAGGACATACATCCTGGTACCGATTTTATGCTTGGTGGACCTGTGACGCCACATACCAGGATAAAAATCCACGCAGTCAGCAATGGCTTTTGATCGTAGTACGCTGGAATTACAAGTCTGACTTGCGACATCTAAGCCATAGACGCCGCTTTCTTTGACATGCCAAAATGAGAAAATCACAATTAAAGTAATTACCAACATACATATGAATGAGTACTGCTTACCTCATGCAAAGCAGCTAAAAGCCTGTATGCTTTCTTGACACTTTCATCTCTCTTAGCATCCTGCAGAACAAGATAACAGCTTCTAGTGACCCCAGGTAAGCTCAGACCTTCATTACTGACTGACTGACTTTCAACAGAATCAACATAACATGCAGGTAAAGTTACTTGGGTATCCTCTGCTGCAATGTTCCTTAACCTGTTTTTTTTTTTTTAACATCTCTGGCTCACCAAAACAGGGGAAATATTTTCGTGGCCCACCTGACAGCTAATCAAACATGAAACAAAAACAAATGTAGACAGATGGTATTTTTTTTGTTAAATCAGTTGCAATGTCAGCTGTTAAATCAGCTGCCACAGAGAGCCATGGTGAAGAAATGTAATGAACACAGAACAAGGGGAAGAAGACAGATGGAACAAGGAGCAACATAACAGAAATGACCACGCAAGATTTGGAACAAATGACACATTCCCTTCCCATCACCTCGCTGAGGTAAAGGTGGAAAGAAGACAAGAAGAAATGAACACATTTATAGGTGAATCTCTACTTGCAGGAATTATCATTTAAAAAACATTCCCTGGCAGATTCGATGATCAATATTACTATTACATTTTCATCAGCAGATATGACTGGTTGATTGGCCCCCGCCTTTCCAGAGGATAGTGTTATATTGCGCCCATGGAACTCACAGCTCGCTGCGCAAGACCCGCCCGTAAGAAAAGTTGGTGTAAGAGAAGATAATCTTTATAGTTGAGGTCACCTCAACATCTTCTTCCTGTCTTTAATTCACCATAAAGAATGTCCTTAGGGACTCTGCATCCTCCATTCTCCAGGTTAATCCAGCCTGAGCCTTCGTATCATGGAAAAGGAGTACCTGCTCTTTTTTTCGTGATTTTGTCCTGCAACTAATGCCATTTCTTTGGCAGCATCGCATGAAAGTCATAGAGGCCGTCAGATTTAGGAATTGCTTTTCCTGCGTTACCCAGTTCCTCATAAAAAGAATCCTTTGCGTCCTCTGTCGACGTTAGAGTGGGTGCATGTGCAGTAACAAGAGTATCAGACATGATAAAAGGCTGAATATGCGCTGGTAATGAAAATGATCAAACTTTCACTGAAAACAATGCTTGTATCGGCTCAAAGCGATATCGATCGTAGGCGCAGCGTCTCTTGGAATTAACAAAAATTCCCGGATAAAGCTCAATTCGAAAAAATATCAGTATGGTCTGTTTGTTTGCAGTCTACATGTCATGAATTCGCCGATCGCCAAAGTTGGTCACGAAGGGATCATTATCGTCATCACGTGCCCTGCCAACTGGTGTAGGTGCTCACGCGTCTCCACAGATCACGATCCCTGGTTGCCTGCAACAGCTTTCTTGATGATATCCCTCCATGCCATCATTTCAGCGCATCCAGCATCAGCTCTCTTGGTCTGCCTCTACCTCCACTGATCTCTCCAGTTGTCACAATGTTTTCCAATGCCTTTCTTCTTATTACATGGCCAAAGAACAGTGTTTGTCTCCTTCTCATTGTTGTATAAAGAGATCTAATTTCCTCAGCTTTTTTTGAACAATCGTTGTTAGTTACTCTGGCCGTCCACGGTATTCGTAACATTTGTCTCAGAAACCACATCTCTGCTGCTTCCAAATTCTTCTTAATTTGTTCACTGACATTCCAAGATTTACTGACATACAGAAGAATAGGTTCTATGTAATATTTTAGCACTCTCTTCACCAAGGGATATGACTGGAAATTTGAAGTTGGTCAGCATCATTCGACCCCAAAAAGGGTCGCGACCCACAGGTTGAGAACCCTGGGCTAGACCTATATTTTGACAGACCAATTGGCAGATAATAAGTGATATGGTGAACATCACACCGATTGGCTACCCAGGACTTTCCTTGGTACCCATTTTAAGCTGGGTCGACCTGGGAGACAAAGTCAATTTTGTTAACAAATCTGCTTTGGCGTGGATTTGAACCCATAACCTTTGGATCAAAGCCGAGCCAATATTTCATGCAACCCACACTTGAACAAACAATCTAACATGAAAGCAAACACACAGTTACCCTAAATATCAGCTCATCTGTAACTGCAAATGTTCGGTCCAACTTTCCTGTCAACAAGTTGATTTCTTTTTGAACACTTTTTGTATCCACTAAAATCTGCAAGAGAGAAACACAGACAAGTCAGCAACACAGATAAGTCAGCACGGATCAGATGTACAAGAAATGAAATGAAGACTATAGACAGCAACACAGACAAATCAGCACAGATCAGATGTAAAAGAAATCAAATGAAGACTGTGGACAGAGCAACACAGACAAGTCAGTATGGATCAGATGTACAAGAAATCAAATAAAGACTATACACAGAGCAAAACAGACAAGTCAACACGGATCAGATGCACAAGAAATCAAATGAAGACTACTGACAGCAAAAATGAAACATAATGAAATAATAATTTTTTTAAAGTCTGCGGATAGGGAAAAAACCAAACAAAGACTTTATCAATAAAAAAAAACTAAAAAAAAACTAGCTATCTGTGTTTGGTTTCTTCTGTTCCCGATATTGTCTTCTTGGTTTTTTTCGTCACTTTTTTCCAGTTACGTCATCAGTGTTTTAGAAGATGTAAGGATCTTCTGTGTAGTCTATCTTATACTCAGCAAAGATTTCCTCAATTTTTCAAACCTTGTTTCTCATGCCATTATTCTACTTCTCGTGTTCATTTTATTTCTTTAATGTGACTCGTTGTGCCAGTTAATACTAGGACATTCTCGCCAGATAGCCAAACCATCTCATCTCTTTACTGAATTATTTGACTGGTTTCTAATTTCTTTATTTTAATATCATCTCATCTTGTTACTCTGGCAGCTCTTCTAAACACTCATCCATGTTTGTTATGATTTACTCTCCTTATTCATATTTAACGGCCAATGTCTAACACTGGTATCATAAAGTTTGCCAACAAGTAGTAGTTGTTAGGTCTTTCGTGGCAGACCACACCTCCACGGACTTTAGTTTCTGTATCATTTCTTTACTAATTATCCAGCATATGTATCCATACAAACAGGCCACAGACATTTAATTAAGCTGATTTATGTATCTTCTTCTTATTTTATTTTTCTTCTTCTGTTTATCCCCCCAATGGAGCATAGACTCTCAACCAGCGCATGCTGTACTATACTTTGCATAAGGTACTCCCTATCTTTTTAACTTCCCTCTCAAGCTCCCTTCTTCACATTTTTTGGTCTGCCTGTATTTCTATACCTCTGTGGGTTCCAGTGCAAAGATATTCTAGTTATACTTTTTTCAGGATTTCTCAACAGGTGTCCTATGCAACACCAGCATCTTTTCTTTACCTCTTGATTCACTGGAACTTGTTTATTTCTCTCCCAAAGCTCTACATTAGTGATTCTATCATTTAATATCCTCTGTTGTGCAGTTTGATATTTCTTTTCTTTTTATGAAAATTGTTAATTTATGTTCAAGAATCATTCAATACAGAGATTACTTTCTAAACACATGTGTCATGTCTTTTGTCAGAAGTCATCGGATAAGAGATTACTTTCTAAACACATGTGTCATGTCTTTTGTCAGAAGTCATCGGATAAGAGATTACTTTCTAAACACATGTGTCATGTCTTTTGTCAGAAGTCATCGGATAAGAGATTACTTTCTAAACATGTGTGTCATGTCTTTTGTCAGAAGTCATCGGATAAGAGATTACTTTCTAAACATGTGTGTCATGTCTTTTGTCAGAAGTAATTGGATAAGAGATTACTTTCTAAACATTTGTGTCATGTCTTTTGTCAGAAGTAATTGGATAAGAGATTACTTTCTAAACACATGTGTCATGTCTTTTGTCAGAAGTCATCGGATAAGAGATTACTTTCTAAACACATGTGTCATGTCTTTTGTCAGAAGTCATCGGATAAGAGATTACTTTCTAAACACATGTGTCATGTCTTTTGTCAGAAGTCATCGGATAAGAGATTACTTTCTAAACATGTGTGTCATGTCTTTTGTCAGAAGTCATCGGATAAGAGATTACTTTCTAAACATGTATGTCATGTCTTTTGTCAGAAGTCATCGGATAAGAGATTACTTTCTAAACATTTGTGTCATGTCTTTTGTCAGAAGTCATTGGATAAGAGATTACTTTCTAAACATTTGTGTCATGTCTTTTGTCAGAAGTCATCATATAACCTAAATAATGAGAATGCTTGATCTGTTTAAATTTTACACTTTTACTAACTGGAATGTGTTCTTTTTCAATCCAGAAGACTTGTTTCGTCAACTGTATCTAAATATGACTTCTGTGCGTGTCTGAACAGGGATTGGGACCTGTGTTAGTAGTGAGGTTCTAATCATGGCTCTTTTGGTCATCGTGGTATCAAATCTTCAAGAATCAGACCTCCCCCAGAAACTGCTATGATTTCAGTTTTGCTCGTGTTTATGATAATCATTTCAATTCACTTGTTTATCTTACCTTATCTATTTCCTGTTTTTGTTTTTTGATGTTGGCTACAATCTCCATAATCTTCCTTGTGTAGGCCGACCTGTTGACATCTTTCGTCATTCGTTCATACTCGGATATCTGCAAATTCAAGGATTCAGTGACGTATGAGAGAATGAGAACGCAATACAATTTTGGTAGTAACGTAAAAGAAGCCTATGTCAAGTTTGAACAAATCCGACTCGATGCAAGTTTGAAGTGAAGACTTTTTGGGGCCAGCAGGCGAGCATCTTGCTGAAGCCCCCACAATTTGTCTGATGCTTGAGGGGAAAATCTGGATAAGATGAAAGGGGGTGGGGAGGGGGAGAGAAGGCAGGAGAATGTACATGCCGAACAAACAATCTGCTAGATAGAAAATTTATAGACAATCTATAAGCTGAAGAGACAATGTCTCAGATGGAGGGATTATCTCTAGGCTGGAGAAACAATGTCTCAGATGGAGGGACTATCTCTAGGCTGGAGAAACAATGTCTCAGATGGTAGGATTATCTCTAGGCTGGAGAAACAATGTCTCAGATGGAGGGATTATCTCTAGGCTGGAGAAACAATGTCTCAGATGGTAGGATTATCTCTAGGCTGGAGAAACAATGTCTCAGATGGTAGGATTATCTCTAGGCTGGAGAAACAATGTCTCAGATGGAGGGATTATCTCTAGGCTGGAGAAACAATGTCTCAGATGGAGGGACTATCTCTAGGCTGGAGAAACAATGTCTCAGATGGAGGGACTATCTCTAGGCTGGAGAAACAATGTCTCAGATGGTAGGATTATCTCTAGGCTGGAGAAACAATGTCTAAGATGGAGGGACTATCTCTAGGCTGGAGAAACAATGTCTCAGATGGAGGGATTATCTCTAGGCTGGAGAAACAATGTCTAAGATGGAGGGACTATCTCTAGGCTGGAGAAACAATGTCTCAGATGGTAGGATTATCTCTAGGCTGGAGAAACAATGTCTAAGATGGAGGGACTATCTCTAGGCTGGAGAAACAATGTCTAAGATGGAGGGACTATCTCTAGGCTGGAGAAACAATGTCTCAGATGGTAGGATTATCTCTAGGCTGGAGAAACAATGTCTCAGATGGTAGGATTATCTCTAGGCTGGAGAAACAATGTCTCAGATGGAGGGATTATCTCTAGGCTGGAGAAACAATGTCTCAGATGGAGGGACTATCTCTAGGCTGGAGAAACAATGTCTTAGATGGAGGGACTATCTCTAGATGCTTGGGAGAAACATGTCTCAGATGGTAGGATTATCTCTAGGCTGGAGAAACAATGTCTAAGATGGAGGGACTATCTCTAGGCTGGAGAAACAATGTCTCAGATGGAGGGATTATCTCTAGGCTGGAGAAACAATGTCTCAGATGGAGGGACTATCTCTAGGCTGGAGAAACAATGTCTAAGATGGAGGGATTATCTCTAGGCTGGAGAAACAATGTCTAAGATGGAGGGACTATCTCTAGGCTGGAGAAACAATGTCTCAGATGGTAGGATTATCTCTAGGCTGGAGAAACAATGTCTAAGATGGAGGGACTATCTCTAGGCTGGAGAAACAATGTCTAAGATGGAGGGATTATCTCTAGGCTGGAGAAACAATGTCTCAGATGGAGGGATTATCTCTAGGCTGGAGAAACAATGTCTAAGATGGAGGGACTATCTCTAGGCTGGAGAAACAATGTCTCTGATGGAGGGATTATCTCTAGGCTGGAGAAACAATGTCTAAGATGGAGGGACTATCTCTAGGCTGGAGAGACAACCAGTAAACCAACACACACACATATATATATATATATATAAAAATTTTGAGAGCATGCATCTTTCCTGTAGCAACATTTAGATGTGAGCCAGGGACTATCTCCCGGTCCTTAAGAGAGAAAATCAGGGACTTCTCGGCTAAAATGCTATAGAAAGATTCTCAAAATATCATAGACAAAGAGATGAGAAATACTGACATTTTGAAAGATTTGAAGGTCAACGAAGATTAGCCAGTAAACAGCATCCTGTCTCAGAAGCTGAAATATTTTGGTCATATCAAGCGCTTTGGCCGACTGTAAAAATAACAGCAGAAGGCATGGTACCAAGGCAGGGACCGACCAACACAAAGATGGGCACAGGATATCAGTGACTCCTTCAGTATGAAAGTACACGAGGCAGGAGAGCTGGCAAGAGACCGAGAACTTTCTTTCAGGCAGACCGTGATGAGAGCGACGTTCTGCAAAGGACCTGCTACATGATGATGATATAAATATATATATATGAGAGAGAGAGAATTATTTAACATACCCATGAGATACAGTGGAATAAGCCTGCCAATAAATTGTGCACTATATTTTTTGTGTAACATTATTTAAATTCACTATTGGGAAAAAATGTTGCATTATTTTTTTTTTTAACATAACTTTTTTTTTTAAACAGACGAACAATTCTCTGGCATAGCCACAATGAAGGTTAACTGTGGTAGATTTTTAATCTTGTGCTGTCCTTGGGCATATGATGCAGTGAGGCCCCAATCTATTACATGGCGTGACTCTCCTAACACTGTCTGAGGAATGTGAAATTGCAAAACAAATTTACGTGCAAAGGCATAAAGTAAAAAATAAAATTTAAAACATTTTCCCAAAGTGAATTTGAAAAATTGGACACAAACAATACATTGCACAATTTACTGCCAGGCCTATTTTGCAGCAACTCATCGAGGTGTGTTATACTACAGAGTTACATCAACATATAATGAAGCATAAAAACTGAAAAAATTTCACTAAAATGCAAATGGTCTCTCCCGTTACACTGTTACATCTAATCACCAGAAGTTTTGACAGTCATATATGATTTACCAGGGTAAGTCAAATTTATAATGAATTCCTTTTGTTTACATAAGGGGATGTGGTTGTTGTTCATTTTTATAGTTAAAGCTTCGGCTAGTCTCAACATTCGCCTGCTCCGTGCGTGTTAAGCAACAACGGAAAGCACTGTCCTTGCCAATTAAATGTTCAGAATCAAGCAAATGACATCCCATGGAAAAGAAAAATGAAATTATCTCTGCAACATACCAACTGCTTGTACAGTTCATCTTTTCTTCGAGTGTCATCTGCTGTTTCTTTCATCCTCTCTCTGAACTGCTTAATTTCCTCCAGCTTTTTCTGGGCTTCCGACTGTTGAACATATAAAAATAATAATAGTGTTGATAATAATAATTATAATAATTAATAATAAAACAGCAATAACTAATTTGTTTACAATGTTTTCTCACCACAACTACCAAACATTTATCCTTATTCATTCTTACAATGTACCTGACAAACCTCGCTGCATAACAACCCTCCGGAAAACCTTCCTATTCCTGAGCAAGTCATGTCATGCGTATGGATACACCCATCGGAATCATAAATAACATCCTGCACAATCTTCTCCTTGGCCTTCCTCTTCCTCTCTCCCCAGGGCAACCCCTCCATTATTGTTCTCTCTAGACTTCCTATGACAGTTTCAAGTGACAAAATATTTCAATTTCTTTGTTTATTACACTAGCCAAACCTCTTCAATATTCAGCTCTTGAAGTATGGATGCATTTGTTATTTTCTTTACCCAAGATATTCTTAGAATATGTCTGTACATGTATATTCAAATGCATTATGCGCTGTTCCGCTTGTTTAGTAAGGTCCAGGTCTCACAGGCGTATGTTGCAATGGGAAAAGATGCATGCTCTTAAAAAATCATTACCTTTGTAGTTCGTATCTGTACAATTCCATAATTTATTCAGTGTTTTAGTCTTTGAAGAGCAATTGATAGGCGCCGTTTATTTCTTTCATTGTGTCACCATTGTTGGTAACCAGTGACCCAATTCTCGAAACCACTTCCAATCTTTCCTCATGAACATTTTTTCCTAATCTCCATGGCAGTTTTTCCTTATTACACTTACAATTTTGAGGCAGGAATAATGCTAGAGTTAGCACAAATAAAAATATATATAACAAACGCACACAAACCTAATAATCATAGATACAAAAAACATACACACAAAATATACCAACAAGAAAATCGAACTGAACCTCTGAAGATGTGGATACACAGAAGAACAGGTCGTATTTCATGGAAACAAAAAAAACAGTCCAATACAGAGGTTCTGGAAAGACTGGAAATGAAACGAGAGTTGTGGAAAGAAATAACATGAGACAATTTAAATAATTGTTATAAATACAACTCTTTTACAGCAATTTTGGAGGAAAAAGCTGAAAGCAAGAGAGCAAGAGGTAGACACTGATACAAGTGGGAGGACAACATCAAGAGATGGACAAACAGCAGTGTTCAACCAGGACAAGAGACAGAGCTTGTTAGCGATCCAATGTAGCCAACCTTAAATGTGGAGATGGCACCTGACTGATTGATACCAATTAATCAAGTGCCTTGATGACTGGTGTGGCAATTATGCCTCTTTACAATCTGTGATATTCAACTGCATGAAACAGTTCATGTGCTTCTTCTTCTTCTTCTTCGTTCACCGGCTGTGAATTCCGGCGGAAGTTCAAGTTAATCAGTCCCCTTAAATTTTTGGCTTTTACCTGGACCTGAGTTTTGCGTGTACAACCGTTCTACCAGCTTTTGCCGTTCCCTACCTCACGGGCAGATGTACTCCGACTTCGAGGGAAAAGTTCATGCGCTGAAACCCCTCCATGCCATGACAGAAGGCAGTTAATAATCTCACGTTGTCTTCCTGTGTCTCTTTTTCCAGAGATTTGTCTCTGTGGTCACAACATGTTCCAGTTGATCTTTTCTCATAATATAACCAAAAAATTATGGCTATCTCTTTCAGACGTTTGTGACAAGCTGTCTTTGAGCCCTCACCTCTTAAAAAATATTGATCAATTTGAAGAATTATTCAGTAAAACCACATTTCTAAGGCCCCAAGAAATTTGTTGGCTTATTACTTATATGTGTTCAGGATTCACAGCCACACATTAAAACTGGCTCTATACAGCATGCACAAATTCTTGTCCTAACCTCCAGTGACATAGATTTTTTGCATTAAATATTTTTAATTTTTATAAAATGCAGTTTTTGCCTGTCTGTTTTTTATCTCTGTTATACATCTAATGTCGGATGCTATCCATGTGCCTAGATACTTAAATTTCTGTACTTGTCCTAAAATAATAACTTTGACTTTTATTAAACATTTAGGCACTATTCTTTTCTTGGATTTTACCATTACTTCTGTTGTCGCATAACTCAAGCTAAGTCCCATTCTAACCATTTCTACCACCATGGTATCGATGATTTCTAGTTCTCTCTGAATTGTTGCTACCAAAATGGTGTCATCAGCATAATGTAGGCTGTTAATAGTATGACCAATTATCACAATTTTTGACTGACTGACTTTCTAACTACATCACACAATGATAAAACAAAGTGCCACCATGCAATGAGGATCACCATGGAGAGGTCCCAGAAACCGCGTTCAACAAATTGGCCATATTGATGGCCCTATTCCCCCTGGCAAAAGCCAGAGTGGGGCTTCAAATAAGAAAAAATTATGTCCTGAAAAGGACGTAATTATTGCCCCCCCCCCCCCCCCCAAAAAAATCACAATTTTTTATGCTAACTAAGAATAAAAAATATAAGAAACATATACACAATGTATACCCATACCTTCTATATTATCACACACAGACAACAGGTACCTCTCGCTTTGAGTTCAGATCTCCTAGTTGTCTGTACTGCTCTAGAAGTGGGTCTCTGTGGGCCTCCCACTGTTTGGCCAGGTTGGCTAATCGCTGTCTACTGGCATCCACAATGGCCTGCAAATAACAGATCAGAGGTCAAAGATCAAGGCCAACAACTCTCAGTAAGATTTAACAGAGGTTTACAGATAATCTGATTTTGTTTGGCATTGATAGCCCTTGAAAAGAAGAACAAAGGAACAACGACTTTCTTAAACACAGGAAGAATAACGACAATGGTGTACATTAGCATTAGAATAAACATATGGCAAATCCATCATTATATTCAATAAGACAAACAGTAAATTGCATTCTTCTTTCCTGTTTATCAACATCTGCTTAGGCTGCTGGGCATCAGTTCAACAGATGATCGGCAGGAGAGCTAGGGTAGGCTCCACTGCTTGGTATTCTGTGATGCTGTCAAGTCTTCAGCTGTCAGTGACTCCTTAAATTCATAATCTTCTAGGTTTCCCTCTGACATAGTTCAATTCATTCTCACTAGGTGACTGAAGCATTTCAGTGTTCGTTTCTCAGTTAATTTAATGACGGTCACAATAAATTTCTAGAGGTTTTTAAAATTTGCTTTGAAAAACAAAAAGCAGATAAAGAGCAAAATAACGATCTAACTGAATAGGTCAAAGACACAAGATCGGCTGTATGAACTCTGTAACCCTACAAGAAGAAATAAAAAAAAAACAGTGAACATAAATAAATCAGAAATGAACTTCTACGCATTCACTGGCTGAAAACTCCGACGGAAAGTCCTGGTTGTTCTGTCCTCATGTAGGCTTTGGTGTCCTCTATGTTAAAGATCTGGCTTAAAGTGGGTAGACTGTTGGTTGCTCACTTCTCAGGCATATGCACTCTGACTTCAAAGGAAATGTCAATCCTATCCAAGTTGGCCAGACCTCTGGTAGAGAACCTGTGTCTAGGATGTGGCCGTGGAGAAGTGTAGGCAGGACTTGACCAGTTTAAGCCCATGTCCAGGTACACCAACACCTATAGTTCAGCACCTCTACATCCCAGAAATAAACAGCAACAAACTTGAAGATAACTAGCTCCGACAAACAACCACCTGAAAATAACCAGCTCCGACAAACAACCACCTGAAGATAACCAGCTCTGACAAGCAACCACCTGAAGATAACCAGCTCCGACAAGCAACCACCTGAAGATAACCAGCTCCGACAAGCAACCACCTGAAGATAAGCAGCTCCGACAAGCAACCACCTGAAGATAACCAGCTCCGACAAGCAACCACCTGAAGATAAGCAGCTCCGACAAACAACCACCTGAAGATAACCAGCTCTGACAAACAACCACCTGAAGATAAGCAGCTCCGACAAACAACCACCTAAAGATAACCAGCTCTGACAAACAACCACCTGAAGATAACTAGCTCTGACAAACAACCACCTAAAGATAACCAGCTCTGACAAACAACCACCTAAAGATAACTAGCTCTGACAAACAACCACCTAAAGATAACCAGCTCTGACAAACAACCACCTAAAGATAACCAGCTCTGACAAACAACCACCTAAAGATAACCAGCTCTGACAAACAACCACCTAAAGATAACCAGCTCTGACAAACAACCACCTAAAGATAACCAGCTCTGACAAACAGCCACAACCTACTTTCACATTACCTGTAGTTTGGCAATGTTATCCTCAGCTTGCGGCAACAAATCCAGTGTCCTCTTCTTTACACTGAATGTATCTTTCTTCTCAACTATGGCCTTTGTTTCCGAGGCAATGATCTCTTCCATTTTTTGCCGACCGGCTGTAAACTTCCTGACCTCAAGCTCCAATTTCTCAAGGTCAGAGGTGATATTCGCGAGTTCTGACCGCAGCCGTTCTTGTTCTTCTTGTCGCTTCTTCTCTTGTTCCTGAAATGATATCAGATTAAGAAAACTTGACATTAGCACACTGGTCACATCAAATCTACAGAAAGCAATCACAGGACAAACGGAAGGATAAACAGAAGACTGTTAAGATCCTCATACAGGTGGGGGTAAGACTGTCCATAAAAAAACACAAAATATCTGAGTATCACGGGGTACACACAACTCAACTGAACTACATAAATGGGAGCTGTCTGCTTCGCACTCTGAAGATCATGGGTTCCTTTTACGACTATGTCATCTGGTTTATGAGTGGAATTGTTACAGACACCTATGGGAAGAGCCAATGGAGCAATGATGCTGTCGCCAGATGGCCAGCTGCTTTGTGGACAGATACTGAGTCATGCAGGATAAAACTCGGTGCCATGAAATTGATCCTTTTGACTTAAACTTTTAATCTTTTAAGTTAACTGACTACTGATTTAAATATTGAGATCAAAGCACACTGCAAATACCCAGAGGTGCTCCATCTCCCGCAGCAAATGAATTAAGGTGTAGATGCTAACTGTTCTCTGTGCCCTCTTTAGTTAGATCATTTTTCTACTCTTTATCTAATTTTAGGTAAACTACATGAGGCCTGATTGGTCTATAAAATATAGGTCTAGAACCATATGTCCTATATGCTAGTGGCAAAAAAAAATGCTCCCAAGACAGAAGACGGGAAGAGACTTTAAAGAAGGTACAGGAAGATATAAGTGGAAGACAGTTGGGCAACAATTATAATACAGGCAACTGCAGCTTCTTTAAAATATAGACTCAGAGAGAAGGCTAGACAGTTGTGAGTGCCAATGCTTGCTTCAGATCAGCTACAGTAGCCTTAGACAACTGAGACTCCCCGTCTGGGCTCGGGGAAAACAAGAACAGACCCACTGTCTCCCTATCAAGCATGTCGTAAGAGTTAATTACCTGGGGCTTCCCTCGAAGACAGACTGCATCCACTTGAGAGGCAAGGAATCAGTCTGCATAAAAAATAGGCCAGATCTGTAGCATGGAAGTGCATGCAAAACTCAGGTTCTGGAGCAAGACTAAAGTCTGAAGGTGGATGAAAAACCAGAACTTTTAACCGGAGTCTACAGCTGGTGAATGTGATGAAAAACCAGAACTTTTAACTGGAGTCTACAGCTGGTGAATGTGATGAAAAACCAGAACTTTTAACTGGAGTCTACAGCTGGTGAATGTGATGAAAAACCAGAACTTTTAACCGGAGTCTACAGCTGGTGAATGTGATGAAAAACCAGAACTTTTAACCGGAGTCTACAGCTGGTGAATGTGATGAAAAACCAGAACTTTTAACCGGAGTCTACAGCTGGTGAATGTGATGAAAAAGACAAAACAACTGAAATGAGTTAAAAACTGACATCACAGCACTTTGGACATTGCCAGGTGCATTCCCTCTTCACCAGCCAGCAAAGTGTTACAATGCTGATTGTACGAGCAGCAGTTTTGTTGATGTCCATCTTGACTTTCCTCTGAGGGCAGTCTGAACCTGCCCCCTGGTATCTCCTCATTGCAGCATTCGCTTGATACTCTTCCATAACTATTACCTCACTCCTGCGAGTCCCAGTCAAGCAACAGGAACCCAGCATCTGTCTATAAATGCAGTAATGGGCTGCCAAAAGTAGGCAATTCAACAGCATTAGCATAGCAACAGGGGAAAACAACAAGAAATAGATTTGATAAACCAGGTGTTTCCCTTACCTCCTCGGTATCTTTTGTAGCCACATTTGCTCCAACCTGAGTCATGGCTTTGTCCTCATCCTGCAAGGGAACAATAGGATAACCAAACTAAATAGAATCATAGTTGACAGCAATTCTTTCAATCTTGCCACATCTCTAACCACACTGCAACATCTATAACCACACTGCCATATCTCTAACCTCACTGCCATACCTCTAACCACACTGCCATATCTCTAACCTCACTGTCATATCTCTAACCACACTGCCACATCTCTAACCTCACTGTCATATCTCTAACCACACTGCCATATCTCTAACCACACTGCCATATCTCTAACCTCACTGTCATACCTCTAACCACACTGCCATATCTCTAACTTCACTGTCATACCTCTAACCACACTGCCATACCTCTAACCACACTGCCACATCTCTAACCTCACTGCCATACCTCTAACCACACTGCCACATCTCTAACCTCCCTGTCATACCTCTAACCACACTGCCATACCTCTAACCACACTGCCATACCTCTAACCACACTGCCACATCTCTAACCTCACTGTCATATCTCTAACCACACTGCCATATCTCTAACCACACTGCCACATCTCTAACCTCACCGTCATACCTCTAACCACACTGCCATATCTCTAACCTCACTGTCATATCTCTAACCACACTGCCACATCTCTAACCTCACTGTCATATCTACTAACCACACTGCCATATCTCTAGCCAGTGCAACCTCTCTAACCACAATGCTATACCTCTAACCACACTGCCATACCTCTAACCACACTGCCATATCTCTAACCACACTGCCATATCTCTAACCACATTGTCATATCTCTAACCACACTGCCATATCTCTAACCACACTGCCATACCTCTAACCACACTGCCATACCTCTAACCACACTGCCATATAACCACACTGCCATACCTCTAACCACACTGCCATACCTCTAACCACACTGCCATACCTCTAACCACACTGCCATACCTCTAACCACACTGCCATACCTCTAACCACACTGCCATACCTCTAACCACACTGCCATACCTCTAACCACACTGCCATATCTCTAACCACACTGCCATACCTCTAACCACACTGCCATACCTCTAACCACACTGCCATATCTCTAACCACACTGTCATATCTTGATTGTTATCATGGTATGGGGCATCGCAGGTCGACCCAGCCTAAAAAAGGTACCAAGATGTGTGTCCTGGGGAAGTAAAGATGGCTGGCATAATGCTGACCACATTACCCACCTAGTGCTGATTGGTCTGTAAAAATATGGGTGCTCTTCCCATATGCCTAAAGGCGTGAAAAGGGATCTTTACTTTACAATGCTATATCTCTAGCCACATCTCTAACAATACTGCTATATCTCTAACCACACTGCCATATCTTTAACCACCCCGCATATATTTAACTAATAAAATCACAATAACTTATATCTAACCACAATATATATTTTTTCAATTACAATGTTATATTTTGAACCACATTGTCATATATTATCTCTCTTGCTTTTCTATTTCAGATTCAAGAAATGTTAAAAAAAAAAAAAAACGCAACTGTTTCAAGAACTTGACACATTTAGCTTGAGAGTGACTGCAGTTCCTAGCTTTCTGCCATATTTTGATAGTGTTCAACCAAGTTCCTTTCACTTCATTATTCCATTATGGTGACAAGTGTGCCTACAGCAAGTGGCCCTCTTCTTTCTGTGCCTGATTTTAGTTAAAAAGTCCAATCTATTGGTGTCACATGGATAGCTATGTACAGTAAATATTATGGAATTATAAGATTTATGATAAACTGTAAGAATATTTTATTGAACTTTACCGCTGCATACTGAAGTTTTTCTGTGTGAGCGAACCTGGAACCCTTACTCCTGAGGCCGGTGTTCTTGCTCTGAGCCTCAATGTTACTCAGTATCTGCTGCAGGTCACTGGCAGCGGCTCTACTGTCAGGCCCGTTCTGATGCTGACTGTCCTGTTGCAACCTTTCCTTAACCATCTTCATGAGACGTTCGTGCTTGCGACGTTTAAACTCCTGGATAAGTACATAATGAAACAATTAAACTCCTGGATAAGAACATAATGAAACAATTAAACTCCTGGATGAGTACATAATGAAACAATGAAACTCCTGGATGAGTACATAATAATAGAATTAAACTCCTGGATGAGTACAAAATGAAACAATGAAAATTTTGGACGAACAAATAATGAATTAATTCTTAAACTAGATGAGTAAATATAAATAATGAACTAATTCTTAAACTCCTGGATGAGAACATAATGAAACAATTAAACTCCTAGACAAACAAATAATGAATTAATTCTTAAACTTACAGATGAGTAAATAATGAACAAATTCTTAAACTCCTGGATGAGTAAACAATGAACTAATTATTATTAAACTAATGGATGGTTACAAATTCAATGTGAAATTTAGGGCAGACACATTTAAACTTCTATATTATTCAAAATGATGAACACACTTTCATTCATGTTCATTTTCAACACACACATACGCCCGCACACACGCAAGAGAGAGAGAGAGGGAAAGGTCTACAAATTCGAACACTACCGCTCAAGAATTGTTGCATAACTAACCATTCGTATTACAGCCAAAGTAAACTCATTTATGCAAGAGATGCTTCGTCATGTGTGGGATGTGTTTGGCTACCGCTTAGATGTTTACTGAGCAGCAGACAACGGCCATATTGAGCATCAATATCCTCTATGTATGAGTTTGTAAACTTTAGATCTTTCCTCTCTCTTGTATGTATATTATTATGCAATGTATATTCAAGGAAATATATGTAAATGAAAGTGTATCCATCATTTTAAATAACCCTGTATATAAAAAAGAATAGGTGAACTAAATCACATTTATACGTAAATATGTTTGTATCCCTAAAGGTCTGGGTGACATTCCATAAAATTGTTCATCTCACTGTAGGTCATAATGTAAATTATGTGCAACCCCTATATTTTTGTTCGTTATCCCATACTCACATTCGACGAAAAAGAAACGACCCTCTATCTTCTTCTTCCAAATGTTCATATGCTGTAAACTCTAGCAGAATGTTCTAGTTGTTCTTCAAATCCTGACTTTGGTCTTGTTCAACTTGAGTTTTGTGTGTATATTGTACACTAATCTACTCTCCACATATTTTGTGCTTATTTTATGTTATTTTCTATAGCAAGCAAACATCTACACGTTCACTGATGTAATCTTTATCAGCGTATTCGATATCAGTGATTCCAAACTACTCGGACTTGTGAGGACCTTTTTATAATGACCTTCTATGATAGCGCACCCAATTAATTACAAAATAATGGTGTTTTCAAAGTAATGTTATGAAGGGATGAAGATGGGGTAGATAGTAAAGAAATTTAAAGTAGAGAGACATTTATACAACTGTGTAAAGCCCATGCAAGGAAATTTTATTTTTTAAACTGAAATACACCATATTAAACCATTTTTTCTCTAACATCAAAAGACTAGACAGGTCCATAGCTGCTCTGATCTACTCCTCAAAGGCTCCTGAAGTTTCTATACATATATCTATTAAGAAACAATCTTTATATTCACTGGCCTATTCAATATACAAAACAACAATCTGTCCATTCATTAACTGGCTGTTGCACACATTCTCAAGACAGCTGAAAGCAACAGACCAACACATGATGACTGAATGGACAGAGAATGGGTTAACCCTAGTAGGCAGACCTGAACTGTTCAACAACCAATGAACTCACTTGTTGAGTCAGTCGTGATGCCAGGCCCAATTGATTCCACTCGTTTTCCCACTCTTGATGACTAGCGACCTCTAGCACATTTGTCTCCATCACAGAGGGCGCTGTGTCTCTGTGTAAACTTGTCTGGTTGGTTACATATGGCAGGTGATTGGTGTAGTAGGACCGGAGCTCTTCAATACAGGAAATAATTTTATGTATCATGAAATATAATCAGCTGTAATCATGTGGTAGAGAAACTAACTTAAAAATCACTTGCAAGAAATCCCCGTGGGGAACAATAAAGAGGATGATATGAGAGATAAAAATTAAGATATACACCTAAATACGCAATGCTCTTGACTGTCATATAGCATTCACATACACAATGACCTTGATTATAATTCACTGCAGCACATTCATACATTATGCTTTTGATCATAACATACAAAACATACATAATGCTCTTCACTGTAATATAGCACACACATACATAATGCTCTTGACTGTAATATAGCATACACATACATAATGCTCTTGGCTGTAATATAGCACACACATACATAATGCTCTTGACTGTAATATAGCACACACATACATAATGCTCTTCACTGTAATATAGCACACACATACATAATGCTCTTGACTGTAATATAGCACACACATACATAATGCTCTTGACTGTAACATAGCACACACATACATAATGCTCTTGACTGTAATATAGCACACACATACATAATGCTCTTGTCTGTAATATAACACACACATACATAATGCTTTTGACTGTAATATAACACACACATACATAATGCTCTTCACTGTAACATAGCACACACATACATAATGCTCTTGACTGTAATATAGCACACACACACATAATGCTCTTCACTGTAATATAGCATACACATACAAAATGCTCTTGACTGTAATATAGCACACACATACATAATGCTCTTGACTGTAATATAGCACACACATACATAATGCTCTTGACTGTAATATAGCACACACATACATAATGCTCTTCACTGTAGTATAGCACACACATACCTAATGCTTTTGACTGTAATATAGCACACACATACAAAATGCTCTTGACTGTAATATAGCACACACATGCATAATGCTCTTGACTGTAATATAGCACACACATACATAATGCTATTGACTGTAATATAACACACACATACATAATGCTCTTCACTGTAGCATAGCACACACATACATAATGCTCTTGACTGTAATATAGCACACACATACAAAATGCTCTTGACTGTAATATAGCACACGCATACATAATGCTCTTGACTGTAATATAGCACACACATACATAATGCTCTTGACTGTAATATAGCACACACATACATAATGCTCTTGACTGTAATATAGCACACACATACATAATGCTCTTGACTATAATATAGCATGCACATACATAATGCTCTTGACTGTAATACGGCACACACATACATAATGCTCTTCACTGTAATATAGCACACACATACATAATGCTCTTGACTGTAATATAGCACACACATACATAATGCTCTTGACTGTAATATAACACACACATACATAATGCTCTTGACTGTAATATAACACACACATACATAATGCTCTTGACTGTAATATAACACACATATACATAATGCTTTTGACTGTAATATAGCATACACATACAAAATGCTCTTGACTGTAATATAGCACACACATACATAATGCTCTTGACTGTAATATAACACACACAAACATAATGCTCTTCACTGTAACATAGCACACACATACTTAATGCTCTTGACTGTAATATAGCACACACACATAATGCTCTTCATTGTAATATAGCATACACATACAAAATGCTCTTGACTGTAATATAGCACACACATACATAATGCTCTTGACTGTAATATAGCACACACATACATAATGCTCTTGACTGTAATATAGCACACACATACATAATGCTCTTGACTGTAATACAGCACACACATACATAATGCTCTTGACTGTAATATAGCACACATATACATAATGCTCTTGACTGTAATATAGCACACACATACATAATGCTCTTGATTGTAATATAGCACACACATACATAATGCTCTTGACTGGCCATTGGTATAATGCTGTACCCAAAAAAACATACCATTCTTGACTGTAATATAGCACACACATACTCACTTCTTCCGGAACTTTTGTTATATAGCACACACAAAATAGAAGCTCTAGCACTTCTAATAATGACGCACAGCAATATATATATCATACAAATGCTCTTGACTGTAATATGCACACACATACATAATGCTCTTGACTGTAATATAGCACACACATACATAATGCTCTTGACTGTAATATAGCACACACATACATAATGCTCTTGACTGTAATATAGCACACACATACATAATGCTCTTGAACTGTAATATAGCACACAACATACATAACGCTCTCTGACTGTAATATAGCAACACATACATCTGCTCTTGACTGTAATATAGCACACACATACATAATGCTCTTGACTGTAATATAGCACACACACATAATGCTCTTGACTGTAATATAGCACACACATACATAATGCTCTTGACTGTAATATAGCACACACATACATAATGCTCTTGACTGTAATATAGCACACACATACATAATGCTCTTGACTGTAATATAGCACACACATACATAATGCTCTTGACTACAATATAATGCAACACAAACATATTTATAAGACCCCTGTCTGTAGCCCACATACCTTTGGGAATCTTGACCGTAAGGCTGCCCACAGAACGAGGTGTAGAAATATGACGACCACGGAAGTGATGGAGACAAAATGCCCCCTGGATAAAAACAAAATGATACCAGAATGAATAAGTCACACTGTTCAACATAAAATCAAAAAAACTACACTTCAAATTTCTTATTTTTTACATCATGTTCTAATATTCAATAATTATTATTAACGTTCAGCAGCTGTAAACTTCTGTGGAAAATTCTGGTTTCTCATCCACTTCATGCCTTTGTTTCAGAATAAAACCTTAGTGTGCAGATTTGTCTTACATGTATGCAGACTGTTGGTTCCTCATCTTTCAGGCAGATGCATTCCAGTTTTGAATGAACCACTCCTAATTAATCTACTTTTTTGCTTGTTTGGGGGTGAGGGGGAGGGAACAGTGGGTCTATTCTTTGACCCCCTTAAAATGGGCCTCGGAACCCACATGGGAAATTCAGTAAAGGACCATTTTCCATGTTTTCATGCGTACCGGGTATATAGGGCTAGACCTATATTTTACAGACCAATCAGCACTTGGTGAGTGATGTGGTCAACCTCCTGCCAGCCGCATTTACTTCCCATGTCTACTTTTACGACATGCTTATTTGGGGATTGGTGGGGGGCAGTGAGTCTATTCTTATTCTTCCAACAATGGGCATCCAGAACCCACACGGGAAATTCAAAAAATCAAATACAGGCTACAGAATGAAGGTCCGACTGAAATCAATCTCCAACACTTTTTGTCTCTTATTACAGAAGATCCCTAATGAGAATGGAACCAACGATGCCAGCATCAAGAGCATACAACATGAAAATCGAAACAACAAGAGGCAGGGGAAGACCAAGAAGAAGATGGATTGAAGGAGTCACGGACAACTTGAGACTTCATAACATCACGGCATATGAAGCGACTGAGCGCGCCCTGGCTCGGTTGCCGATCATCTGATAGACTGCGACGCCTGGCGGCACAAGCAGATTTTGACAAAAGAAGAAGAAGACAGAAGATCATTCTGACAGATAGAAACCCATTCCTCTTAAGATATTATTACCCACTAATATCGCTGTTGACCAATTACTGTGGCAGCATAGAGGTTAGATACTGCCTGTTGAATCAAAGATCTTGGATTCAATTCCATATTAGAATAGAGTTTTTAAAAAAAAAAAAGAATAAATGAAGTTAGCTCCCAGGTGGACCTAGCCATACTCTCCAGGGAAGTAAAGGTGGCTGGCATGATATTGAAAACATCACCCATTGTACCTGGAACTGAACTAGGACCTCTTAACTCACAAGCCAGCACTCTCAAAAATGCCACCTTGATTTAAAAAAAAATTTTTTTAAACAAAACACTATTAACTCTTTTAGTACCAAACAATGCATGATGTGCCATTGGTTCACCTCCTGAATTTCAGTCATCAAGTCGTAGGTTCTCTAACTTGTCACCTTTTGATCCCACTAAAAACATCTGACTCTCTCACTCCACACTACTGTTTTTTCTTTGAAAATAATGCACCCTTGATTTTATCAGTGGTTGCCACTTTGGACATTTGCTTGCCAAACTTTTAAAAATGTTACTGAAATTTCTGTTGCATTATGCAAACAACATACCTCCCTCTGCCAGCCTGGTGGCCTTGTTCGTGTCCTCACGCCCTTGTCTTTGAGATATGGGGGCAGCCATGCTAGTGATAACTGATAACCTAGTTCTGTTGAGATGGCACGATGGAGGAGAACTGATGACCCTGCAAAGAGAAGACATTGGTCAGATTATTCATCTTCTGGTGACTTATCTGGAGCAGGCATCAGTGGTCACAATGCTTCCATCCTCTCACTGAGGTCAAAGTTTAATCAATTTGTGTCTGGCTGTTCTTCTTCTGGGATGTTGTAGTGGCTCAAGTCTGGCCAAGACATTTCTATGCCTCATGGTCATCCTAGAAAGAGTTCCCTACCAGAGGCATGGCTAAGGTAGCTAGGATCGATGTCCTTCTAGAATGTGAGGTGCATCTGCCTGAGAGATGAGAACCCAACAAGCCATATCTATTTAAAAAAAATAATACAACAGATGCAGGCACAAAACTCTGTTCTGGAACAAGACAAAAGTCCAGAAATAAGTGCACAATCAGGACTTTTCACAAGAGTTTAAAACTGATGAACAAGAAGAAGAAGCTTATCTTCTGATTTTATATACAAAAACCGTCAGACAGCTCATGTCAAACCCTCTGTCAACTTGTTCATAATTGTTTTTTTTTAAATAGCTAAGGTCAACATTAAAGAGACTCACATGGATATACTGTCCAAGATACGCAGAAGTGCAAGGGAATGAAAAAGCAGAACTTTTGGCTTCAAAAGCAATAGCTGCAGGAACACTGGTACCGGACAAAGGAGACATTCTGAAGACCATTTACAAAAAAATTCTTGTGTAAGATACAAGATTAGGTAAAATAACAAATGTACAAATGTGTGAACATGGAATCAGGAGGATCCAGCAAAGAGGGGCATATGAGAGGAAGAGAATGATGTGAGTATAATCAGAGAGAGTGCAAAAGGAACAGTTAGTAGCCACACTTTAAGACGTTATGTCTGGCAGCCTTATACATTCAATGCATGTGTATGTTACTGACTTTGCTTAGACTGCCGTCTGTGTCAATTTTTTCCACAAGGGACAGTGATGAACATTCTGTGTGGTTTTCGTTGGCACAGGAGCGGAGCAACTATGTGGTGACCCATTTGTTATGAAGTTGGAACTGTGATTATCTGATATCTTTAAGAGGTTTGCTGTGGAAGACAGAGCATTCATGGACATGCCCTGTGCGCTGTGATGTCAATTTTTAAATTAGTAATCAGTACAGCTGAAGTTTTCTAAGGGGCTAGGCAGCCAGTCTCAGACCAACCTTCCTTAGTGACTTCCTACAGTATGCATGGTAAGTCACAGTGGGTTATTGATCTTTGCTTATCTCAAAGGTCTTCTCCTATTAACATGCAGATGGAATGGAATCTGTTACTGCTTACATTCTTATAGACATAACTTTGCTAGTTGGTCAGCAGGAAACTTTCATTACACCAGTATAATTCTGTTGGATGCAAGCACTGATTAGAACCCCTCAGCTTCTCTTCTTCTTCGTGTTCACCGGCTGTAAACTATGACCGAAAGTTCTGGGTGTTTGTCCACCTCTGAACTTTAGTCTTGTTCCAGAACTTGATTGTTGCATGCACATCCGTTTTGTACATCTGACTTATTTGTATGCAGGCTCTTGGTTCCTTGCCTCTCAGGCAGATGTACTCCGACCTTAAAGTATGCCCCCAGTTAGTCGACTGCTAGGACATGCTTGTTGGAGACGCAGTGGGTCTAGTATTTTTCCCACACAGGGACCTTAACTTCTCAAAATCAGATTATTTCACACTTGCTTGACAGCTAAATAAAATGAAAGGCTTGTGAATTAATGGGATACAATAATCTATCGAACCTACCCATTGGTTCGTCTGCTGTTTGTGACGTATCCTTTGGTAGTTTCTCCACAAGAAACATGAAGATTTTTCTAATCTCCGTCTCATTTGAATACAGGAATGTCTGATAACCCAGGTCACCACCTTTGTAACCTAAATCCTGAAGTTAAAGGGTCAATGTTAGTTTAATGTTTGTCATAAATTATAAAATGCTTGTTGCTGTTACAGAGCCTAATGTAAAAATATGGACCTAATATAAAAGATGACATTGACAGAAAAACAGACAGAGTGGTAAGCAGGGAGGTAGGAAGGCAGACAGAATGACAGGCAGGGAGGGTAGATTGACAGATAGAAGAGAAAGAAAGAAAGAAAGAAAGAAAGAAAGAAAGAAAGAAAGAAAGAAAGAAAGAAAGAAAGAAAGAAAGAAAGAAAGAAAGAAAGAAAGAAAGAAAAAGAAAAGAAAGAAAGAAAGAAAGAAAAGAAAGAAAAAAGAAAGAAAGAAAGAAAGAAAGAAAGAAAGAAAGAAAGAAAGAAAGAAAGAAAGAAAGAAAGAAAGAAAGAAAGAAAGAAAGAAAGAAAGAAAGAAAGAAAGAAAGAAAGAAAGAGACAGAAACAGCAAGAGAATTAAATAAAGTAAAAGAACAAACTATATTTTGTAAAGGATAAGAATTCAGCGTACATATCTTCTTGTTATAACAAGTAATTCATACATTAACTGTGTATTCTACATACAAATATCTCACAGCAAACAAGGTTATATGGACATGACAATCGTATAAAATGTATGTGATAAAGTGCAAACGTATATGAAAGAGACCCAGTGTGGGTCTCGAGGCTGCATTTTTGGGAGGCAAAAAAAAGAGACCCACTGCACCCCCTCCCCCACAACCCAGTAAAATTAGAAGTTTTTCAAGTGTTTTGGGCTGAAAGGTGTGGATATCACAGCCAGACTTTAAACCACAACACAATGTGCCAGCAAATGCAAATGAATAAGAAATAAATAAAATGATGTTTCACCTGCACATGGTTTGCCAGACTTGCCCCAAGACGAAACCTGGCAGACATGCCTGGGGGGAGGCTCGACGGCAGGTCAATGTCTCCCAGGATAACTTTGAGACATCGCACAACCGTGGAAACGATGACCTCTGTGGTAAACTGCCGTAAGCTTTGCACATCATCTTCCAGGTCACTGTTGAGCAGATATTAAAAAAAGTGCTGCTAGAAGTAGACAAAACAGATCTAATTCTATAAATATACATTTAGATGGTGTCTCATAAGTTTCCATACATAGGAAAAATAAAAGTATCACCAACATCATACAAGCATAACTACAGCTGTGCATATACATGTTCTTTAGCAGTGGAAGACACACAATGAAATGTGTTTTCAAAACAATAAGTCATTTAGAGCAAACTATATAAATACAAAATTGCTTTCATAAAAATGTTTATTTTTTAATGTATGGAAACCTTATGAAACCATCTGTGTATATGTTTGTATGTACATATGCAAATCTTCTGGCCACTACCACCCAAATGAACCAACTCTTGTCAAGCTATCCCATCATTTGCCACATGTATGCATATACTTCATCATCATCATCATCAAGTGCCTTGACAGCAAAAGAGAGCAATAATGTGCACCAAACCTTGAGATCTCAAAAAGTATGTATAAATTCATCTGCTTGTGCTTCTCTGAGCCATGACAAAATGCTTTAAAAAAAACCTTTGATGTCTTGCTCTTCCTTCCTCTTCTTCCTCTTCCTTCCTCTCTTTGATGTTTTCCTCTTCTTTCCTCTCTTTGATGTCTTCCTTCCTCTCCTTGTTGTCTTCCTCTTGCCTCCTCTCTTTGATGTCTTCCTCTTTCTTCCTCTGTTGGCTTCCTATTCTTTTATCTCTTTTTGTCTTCCCTTACTTCCTCTCTTTGATGTCATCATCTTCCTTCCTCTCTCTGCTGTCTTCCTCTTCCTTCCTCTCTCTGTTGTCTTCTCTTTCTTCCCTTCTTTGATGTCTTCCTCTTCCTTCTTCTCTTTGTTGCTTTCCTCTTCCTTCCTCTCTCTGTTGTTTTCCTCTTCCTTCCTCTCTTTGTTGGCATCCTCTCCTTCCTCTCTCTGTTGTCTTCCTCTTCCTTCCTCTCTTTGATGTCATCATCTTCCTTCCTCTCTCCTTTGTCATCATCTTCCTTCCTCTCTCTGTTGTCTTCTCTTTCTTCCCTTCTTTAATGTCTTCCTCTTCCTTCTTGTCTTTGTTGCCTTCCTCTTCCTTCCTCTCTTTGATGGCATCCTCTTCCTTCCTCTCTTTGTTGGCATCCACTTCTTTCCTCTCTTTGTTGGCATCCACTTCCTTCCTCTCTCTGTTGTTTTCCTCTTCCTTCCTCTCTTTGTTGGCATCCTCTCCTTCCTCTCTCTGTTGTCTTCCTCTTCCTTCCTCACTTTGATGTCATCATCTTCCTTCCTATCTCCTTTGTCATCATCTTCCTTCCTCTCTCTGTTGTCTTCTCTTTCTTACCTTCTTTGATGTCTTCCTCTTCCTTCTTCTCTTTGTTGCCTTCCTCTTCCTTCCTCTCTTTGTTGGCATCCACTTCTTTCCTCTCTTTGTTGGCATCCACTTCCTTCCTCTCTCTGTTGTTTTCCTCTTCCTTCCTCTCTTTGTTGGCTTCCTCTCCTTCCTCTCTGTTGTTTTCCTCTTCCTTCCTCTCTTTGTTGGCATCCTCTTCCTTCCTCTCTCTGTTGTCTTCCTCTTCCTTACCCTGGCCAACAATGGAATATAGGCCTTCAATAGTTAATGCCCCATTGTCTTATCTCTTCTAATAACTACTTGCAGTTGTCAAAACAAGATATAGATATTGAGAATTTTTCCAGTGATAGTGAGTAGGCAGGATAATCATCAACACTCTCGGACAGATCTATAGGTGCTTTAATCTTCTCCTCAAAAGCTAGACAAGTGTAAAATGACTGATGACGCCTGTTCTGTGTGGATTAATTTAATGTCTTGCCCCTTAGTGAAATGTTAAATTTTTGCAGCTCCAGGTTTCATCCCTATGCCTATCAGCATGGACAGGGATACGGAGTCCTGCCTTTGCTGTGTTCATTTTCGAGGTAAGTGCTGCACATGGCACTGACAATATCACTTCTGTTCAGTACTAGATCAGCCAGAGCAGCCGCAGTGTCTGCAAGATAATCTGCATGAGCATGATGATCCGACATGAAGAGGAAGGTGAGGCCAGCCATTCGTGAAGTGCTTAGTGATACAATAGTGATACAGAATAAAAAATGCACAAAAACAGGCAATGTTCACAAAACTAAGTATACAGTGGAAGATGTGTACAACCTTGTACCAGAGTTGAGTCAAGCTAAGAACTGACATCACAGAACTCAGCATAATCCCATAAGCACTCTGTCCCCATCTTAAACAGCCAATGCAGAGTTCTTATTCTGATGGTACATTCTCTTTGCAAGAATTAGTTTAACAGCAGGCCCCAAATCTAGAATAGTAACATGTTCAGTAACTTCCTATCAGTTTGAAGACATTTTGCGTGAATGAAGACTAGGTCAAAGAATCAGAAAAGCAAGTTTAAAAAAAAAAATTTTAAATTGTGGTATGCAGTATTAACAGTTTTTTCTAAAGGCACTTTTTCAGCACTATTGTAACAGAGACTTACTTTGTAGAGAGTACCGGCACCTTTTTTGCTAGGAAAAAAGCCATGCTTTGAGGTATAACTTATCTCCAGGATAAGTGAGGAAAGATGACAAGTGCATTAATACATTATGAATGATTAGATTGTTATGGCATATGTAAGGAGAGGACTTGTGGATAGATAGAGTAAAAGATGGATGAATGGAGGGAAAGATGTATATAGTATATATGAACACAACAGTATCTGTTATCTTGGGTCTATTTTTAATACTTTAAAAGACAGTTATAAAGTTTACGAGAACATATCGACTGATGATTACGATAAATGACGACCATTTTGAATAATTATTAGTCGATATTGCGTAACTACTAAAAATTTTATGTTTATTCGGTTAAAGCTTGTTGCCCTGAATCCAAAAATATATAGGTTCTAGGGTCTTTTTTAAATACTTTATAAGTTAAAGCAGTTTTTTAAACACTACTCTAAAACTTATGATTTCTGGGCAGCAAGTTTTAACTCACTTTTATATTTTCTTCTTTGTTAACTTTTTCCACAAAAACTTCAATAACTCTGCTTAGACTTAACATAGAAGCATGAAAGAGGCACCGTTGGAAAGGGTTTTTCAATACCAATGCAGCTGTACTTGTTTTATAAGGAAAAAACAATTTTGAAATTTTGACTAAAGTGGCTAAATTAAATTAATGGATATGTAAGCCGGTAGGTGAATGGATGAATAGACAAAAGGATGAAGTTATGGATGGATGGGATGATAAAATAATAGCAATATTATAACAGAATAACACATATTTCTCCTCTTCTCTCTGTTCCCAGCTGTGAACTCCAGCAACAAAAACAAGTCCTAGTTGTTTGTTCACTTCTTGACTTTCGTCTTGTTTCAGGACTTCAGCCTTGCATGCACACCCGTTTTACAGATATGACCTGTCTGTGTGCAGACATCATCAGCATATAATAACGAATGTATTGTAAAGTAGAAAAATACAAATTTAGGTTCTCCTTGCAACTACGGCCACATATTGGGGGAGTACAGTCCCCTGGCCGCATTGCAATTACGGAATGGAGAAGGAACGAATCACACAACAAAGTGAGGTCGACATGGCTGGTAGACCACGCGCTGCGACACAAATTAGCGACCGCGTTCTTGCGACGCAAGACTTAGTGGCCATGGATGTGACACCTGCGGATCTATATGCCGTAATGAGCGATAAGCCACGCCTAATCCTAACCCTAACTAACCCTATGATGACAGGAGTGCACTGCACCCAAATCTAACCCTACCCTACCCCAAACCTATGATGACAGCAGTGCACTGCACGCTGTCTATCATTCACGCTGTCTATCGCCAACACTCACTAATTACGTCATTTGTTTCGTTCCCTCTTTTCCACTCCGTAATTGCAATGCGGCCAGGGGACTGAACTCCGGCGTACTCCCCCAATATGTGGCCGTAGTTGCAAGGAGTGAGAGCCCAAATTTAAATTCTTCTCTTTATAAACTTTTATTATTAATTAAATATAACAACCTTAATGGCTGACAATAATTACAAAGGTAGCTAAACATGTGAAAGAATCTGCACAAGAGAAGCTGATACAGAAATAATATTGCAGAGACAAGATAGGAAAGAACATACCAGCCGATTGATCGCAGAGAATGCACAATAATACGATCCACCTCCTCCATCTTGACGATAAGAAATCATGTGACTTTCGGCAGTTTTCGGCTGACAATTGCAGCAATGCTACTTTCCGAAAATGTCCGGTTGCATGCACCATTTGCACTCTATGCTATGATACCAGTTCATAATTTGGACCAGAGGTCAGAACTCGAGTCACACTACTTAGTCTCGAGTGCGACTTCAATCGCTTAATTAAAGATTGCTTCTCGACTTGAGGGTTGTGTGCATCGAATCTACACTCTACTTAATTTACGACTTGTAGCATCGACTACTTTGAACAACATGTCCTTCGAGGCCGGCTGTTTGATAATCAACGTTTGATAATCAACGTCGCCATTCAAAACGTCTTTTCTCCGTGTGGGTTCTGGGGTCCCAATGTGGGGGGGGGGGGAGGGGAATAGACCCACTGCCTCCCCAAAAAACATGTCGTAGGAGTCGACTAACTGAGGACTTGTTTTCAAGTCGGAGTGCATCTGCTCGATCGACAAGGAACAGCCAGCACACAAGCCAGGAAAACCGATATACACGCAAAATTCAGGCCCTGGCACAAATGGATGAAAAACCAAGGCTTTCCGCCAGAGCCTACAGCTGGTAAACAAAGAAGAAGAGGAAGCAGAAGAAAAGAAGAAGAAGAAATCGTCTTTATATAAAACAGAACAGAACAGCAATATCTTCAGCATGCAGCTGCATGCATTGATTTCTGCGATTTACATACAAAAACAAAGTGTAACAATTGTTGACTGTCGTTTTGGTATTAAAACGAACAATTTTAACCCATAAGCGTTGTTCCGTAGATGATTTACAAATGAGGTGCTCGTCATCCCCTCGTGAGATGCAATTTTTAGTTATTCTGAAGCACTACCCTGGCTTTTGCCGAGGGTCTCTTATAGCCGGGCCTGAAATTGGGCCAAACAGTTGAACGGGGTTACCGGGAACATATGTCATTCAGAACAGTTCAATGTATATTCGAGACGCATCGTGAACTGTTGAATTAACACTTATGTATCATTTGAAATAGAGAACCACCGTGGTTAGATGCTGGCCTGCGGATTTGAAGATCGTTTTTTCAGTTCTTACCGGAGCCTAACTTTTTTTTTCAAAAATGACATTGGCTCCCTGATCGACCTAGTCTAAATGGGTACTAGGTAAAGCTCTGAGACATAAAGGCGACCGGCGTCATGCTAACCAAATCACCCACCAGGCGCCGATTGGTTTACAAAATCTAAGTCTAGTCTATTTGTTCAAGATTCATAAAGAGGCGGAATAGGGTTTTTTACTATTAAAAACAAATTTTTTTTTAAATAACTGAATTCCAACCCACAAATGATTGTAACCAGATTGCCAGATCTGAAATGATTGCAACCAGATTGCCAGATCTGAAATGATTGCAACCAGATTGCCAGATCTGAAATGATTGCAACCAGATTGCCAGATCTGAAATGATTGCAACCAGATTGCCAGATCTGAAATGATTGTAACCAGATTGCCAGATCTAAAAAGATTGTAACCAAATTGCCAGATCTGAAATGATTGTAACCAGATTGCCAGATCTGAAATAATTGTAACCAGATTGCCAGACCTGAAATGAATGAATTTTAACCCGCAGGTCATCTGAAAGATCTTGGCAAAAACACTTGAATTCTTAACCACAGCAGAGGCATCGCCACAACAGAAATAGTTGAGGGGGGGGGGGGTAGTCGCGTCTGTAATTTTTCAGAAGCCGTTGAAATTCCAGATTCCGGCGTCTCTTAGCCACGTCTCATCTGGAAAGGCTGAATTCATGTATACGTGCCATCTAGAACGGCAACCGGTAATCAAAGCTGACATTTCTAGTTTGGTTTTGTGTACAAGGAAATTAATTAGAAAAAAAAAAAAAACAGCCAAGGTGTGGGGAAACTTAGAATCTGGCGTAGTTTGATTTTTAACTTCCGCCCCAGAAATGCCAAAAAGCTTCACGAATTATTTAAAATGTCTGTGTTATCTGCATTGGACTTTGTGTGTTATCAGCCACTTATGAAATTATTCACAACTAGGGATATGGGTTTCACCCAGGAAGATTGGGATCGAGTTATTTATCAGATAAAGTAAACGGGATTTTTAAAATATATATTTAGAAAATGCAACTTCCTGCTGGGAATCTGGAAATGTGGATTTAGAGAAGAATGTATCATATTTTGGTCTTAAAAGTAAAAGTCAGTAAGGACCCTTTTCCACGCCTTTAGGCGTACAGGCCATATGGGGCTAGATCTATATTTTATTGACCGATCGGCTCAAGATGAATTAATTGGTCAGCCAATTAAAGGCGGCCTTTACTTCCCGGAACTGCACCCGGTACCCACACAAGGCTTGGTCGACTTGGGGCCAAGGTCATTTTTGAAAAGATTCCGGCTCTGCCAGGGAGCGAACCCAAGACCTTCCGATCCGCGGTCACGGCGACTCCCTATATCGACCTAGCCTTAAATAGGTACAAGGTAAAGTCCTGGGAAGTAAAGGCGGTCAGTTTGATGTTGACCATATCACCAACTGGTATGTAAAATATGAGCCTAGTCTCATATTCCCGATACGCAGTCTGTATGCTAGCTGTACCGGCCACGCGTTGTCCTGCTTAGTTTGGCTAAATGGAAAAGAAAGAAAATAGAAAAAGCACGTGTGTATTAATAATACTATTATGGGTAATGTCGCAAACATTGTCTGCTCAAATAAAGAGATAGTCTGTTTTGACGACTCTAGAACACGCAACATATAAAATTGTATTTATATTAGTGGTTGTGTACATTGTATTATTAGGACAAAAAAAAAAAAAAAAGGTTATTTCTCTGTCACACGCTAAAGCGGTTTGTATTTTTTTTAAAGCTGAAAAAAAAAAATGCTTACTACTGTCATCATCATCACCAGGTGCCTTGCCGACTGGCGTTGGCGATCATGCCTCTCCATAATGTGCGATCTCCTGCAGCATTTATCAGTTCGTGTGACGACACACCTCCATGCGATGCAACAAGACTGTCAAGCATCTTCTCTCGTTGTCTTCTTCTATCTCTCCTTCCACATATCATTCCAGTGGTCACAACATGTTCTATTTTCCCTCTTCTTATAACATGGCCGAAAAATGATGACTGTCTCCTTCTGATGTCTGTGATAAGTTGTCTTCGGGCTCCCGCCTCTTTCAAAACCTCTTGGTTGCTCTTTTTGGCTGTCTAAGGTATTCTAAGCATTCTTCTGTAAAACCACATCTCCGAGGCCTCCAGAAATTGTTTGGCCTGCCTACCGATTGTCCAGGATTCACAGCCATATGTTAAAACTGGATGTACATAGCAAGCAAGAATTATTTTTCTAATTCTCAATGACAAGGATATATTGCACAAGATGTTTTTCATTTTATAAAATGCAGTTTTTGCCTGTCCTATTATGTTTCTTATCTCAGTTATGCATCTTCCATCTGATGTTATCCATGTGCCCAGATACTTAAAATTTCTGTACTTGTCCTAAAACAACACCATCAACTTTTATTACACACTTAGGAATAATTCGTTTCTTTGATACCACCATTACTTCTGTCTTCCCATTATTCAAACTGAGGCCCATTCTTCCACTTTCTAACACCACGATGTCTATCATTTCCTGTAGTTCTTTCTGACTTGTTGCTATCAAGACTGTGTCATCAGCATAACGTAAATTGTTTATATTGTGCCCACCAACCACAATTCCGGGCATACCAATTAAAGCTCTCATTATATATTCACTGTATATTGAAAACAAATCAGGTGACAGTACACATACTTGTCGTACGCCCCTCTTTATGCTTTGAAATGTCTTTGAAATTACTACTGTACTTCTAGATAACCAGCTAATTCGAAATTAAAAAAATAACTAATATAAATAGAAATTAGAATAGCCGAGGTAATGTTAGTAAAATATAAAAAAGTAAGAAATAAAAACTTTAAAGTCATGTTTTAAGCTCTCCCACTTAACAGTTTCTGTCACCAACCCTCTCCCCTCCTATTCCCTGCCCTACCCCACCCAAATCGATTTTTTTTTCTCTCTCTCCGAAGGATTTGAAATTTATCCCCGGATGAATTTTTTTTAAATTATATATGTGTGTATATATATATATATATATATATATATATATATATATATATATATATATGTGTGTGTGTGTGTGTGTGTATGTGCGTGTGTGTAAAACCATTGCTCTCTCTATTTCTCCCTGGGTAACCAGTTCTCTCTGTCTTTGTCTCTATGGGTAACCAGTTCTCTCTGTCTTTGTCTCTCTGGGTAACCAGTTCTCTCTGTCTTTATCTCTCTGGGTAACCAGTTCTCTCTGTCTTTGTCTTCCTGGGTAACCAGTTCTCTCTGTCTTTGTCTCTCTGGGTAACCAGTTCTCTCTGTCTTTATCTCTCTGGGTAACCAGTTCTCTCTGTCTTTATCCCTTTGGGTAACCAGTTCTCCCTGTCTTTGTCTTCCTGGGTAACCAGTTCTCTCTGTCTTTGTCTCTCTGGGTAACCAGTTCTCTCTGTCTTTATCTCTCTGGGTAACCAGTTCTCTCTGTCTTTATCCCTTTGGGTAACCAGTTCTCCCTGTCTTTGTCTTCCTGGGTAACCAGTTCTCTCTGTCTTTGTCTCTCTGGGTAACCAGTTCTCTCTGTCTTTATCTCTTCGGGTAACCAGTTCTCTCTGTCTTTGTCTCTATGGGTAACCAGTTCTCTCTGTCTTTATCCCTTTGGGTAACCAGTTCTCTCTGTCTTTATCTCTTCGGGTAACCAGTTCTCTCTGTCTTTATCTCTCTGGGTAACCAGTTCTCTCTGTCTTTATCCCTTTGGGTAACCAGTTCTCTCTGTCTTTATCTCTTTGGGTAACCAGTTCTTTCTGTCTTTATCTCTCTGGGTAACCAGTTCTCTCTGTCTTTATCCCTTTGGGTAACCAGTTCTCTCTGGGTTTTTTTTCTCTTTGGGTAACCAGTTCTCTCTGTCTTTATCTCTCTGGGTAACCAGTTCTCTCTGTCTTTA